ATTTTTTATATTTATTTAATAAAACCGAGGGGAAGACATTTATCAAAAATATAAATCGTAGAAAATAAATGCAAAAATCGTCTTGGTCTTAAGCAAATAGTTTTTCATTTAATTTTTTAAACTGAAATGTATTTAAAATTTAAAATTAAAATTCGAAAGGATTGTGAGTGATATAAAAAGTGTTAAAAAGCAAATGAAGACAAGTCTTGACAAGTGCTTTTGGCTAAAATATTTCTTTTCTTTTAAGTACTTGGCTTGAATAAATCAGATAAAAAATTTTTCTAAAAGATGAATGTGAAAGTAAAAAGAATAATGCGGCGGGCGGTGCAAGCAACGAGATAATCCTTAAAGGCAACCAGTTTCAACAGCTGGACAAAGGAGTACCACCTCGAACTCGATGTGAAAGTCGAGGCATAAAAATATCGACAACCAACAATGTAAAGTTACGGAAAGTCACATTTGACTGTCTTCACTCTCCACCACAAAGGTACAGAGCTGCAAGAAAATTCTCAAATCTTTAGCGAGGGGACAGAACACCGCATTCAGCACCGTGATAAGATGTCACCGGAGCAGCATTTGCACAGCGAAACAGCTCTGCTACGGTTAAGGAGCAAGCCATTTATTTGCCGCTGAACCTTCACCCAGACAAATTCGAAAGGGAATACTTGATTATACTGACTCCATTTAGACCCATAGACAAAAACCATTCAGAGAGTCTATCGACACCTTTATGAATTCTTTTCCAGTATATGACGTTCGCAGAATCCAGGGATCAACTGCTGCAGACGAAGAGCTCGGGCTGCCTCGAGAGACCTGGGGATATCGTAGTCGGATTTCACCAATTAAACCAACGTACCATACTAACCACCTTTTTGCATGCGCCTTAAAACCTACTCATCGACGATCCCCTTTCACTCTGGTCCGAACCCGTCGAAATAGCTTGTTTCCTGGACCTTGCAATAGATAAACTCAATGCCATAGACTTCTTGCCTGCTCCCGAGCCAAAAGTCACATGGTGCTAGGTTTGGCGAAAACGGTGGTTGGGGAACGATATTTGTTGAATTTTTATCGAAATGGTCACGAAGAATGAGTGTTGTGTGTGCATTATCGAGATGCTAAAACCACGAAGGTACTTTTAGTCGTTCAGCGAACACAAGCGTAACTAAAATACCAATGATGACATTGACATAGAAATTTAGCGTAGATATCAATAACAGTGCCACGAAGACGGCCAAGGTTCGACTTCTGGTTCGACCAACTTATAGAAAATTAATTTTTCCGATTGCGATCGCCCTTCAGCAAAGAATGTCAAGAACTCCGAGTGTATTTCTGACATGACGTCAAAGCTCTACATAAAAATTCATCGGCCGTTCGGAGGCGGCTTAGTATAAACTGTACGTCCCTCCATTTGTTGGAAAACATTGAGACGCAAACGACAAATTTGAGGAGGAGGTCAGCCGTAAATCGATACAGCGGTTACAAATTATATATAATGGAGAAATGGAGACACATAAAGAGTTTGTAAAAAAAAGATCCATTTTAATTTATGAAATTCATGAGTTTGAGTAGAATGAATTGTAGCGCGTGTTATTATAGATAAATTCATTCTTTGTGTTAATTTTAAAAGTCATAACGAGAAAAGTGAAAATGAATGGACTCGCTCATGCTCTTACAACCTATCTATGGATCTACGCTCGACTTTAGACGCTGAACTCAATGTAAAAAAGAGAGCACACGAAGATTCGGGTAAAAGCGTATCTACACTGATATACGAACACGTAGCACTCGCTCTCTCTCTCTCTCTTAACTACCGCTCGCCTCGCCCGATCACACTCTTCGTAACGCCAACGTAACCAATTCACCATTTTACTGCTCGGGTATAGCGCGCGTAGAGAAGTTTTAATTCAATAAGCGTTCTACCAAATACTTAAAACTTGATTAGAAATGAAATAATATTTTTAGATGGAAAAATAACCAAATATAACGAAATGCCATTACTTGTACGCCATGTAAATAAATTAGTGCATAAATAGAGAATTATTAATATTTTTTTTATATATAAATATGTATCGCAGATCAAACGGAATATAATAAAAATTTTAAAGTAAAAATAATAAATATTCGATAAATACATTTAGTTGGAGAAACATTTTAGCAATAGTAACAACTAGTAGGCATTTACTTAAATAGTAGGCAATATGAGTAGTACATTATGTATTTGTGTTATGTTTTTTTAGTAGATATGGTGCAGGAACATAAGATTTAGTAGATTTAGTGACACATTTAAAATGCTTCAATATTAATTATGCTAAATATATTTGAGATTTGATTTTAATTTGAATTAGTTAGTAAACATATACCTTTTTTTATGGCACACAAACATATGTACATATGTAGATACAAATGGATTTGAGAGAACTTGTACATATGTGAGTAATGGCTTTTTCGTTACAAATTTAACACGGTCCTAGTCTCGAATGTACACGTGTACAAAAGTGTTCGAATCGATAGTTTCTCGAGGTATTCAAAAGCTCTTAACTAAATAATAAAATAAATCATAAGGCAACCCGAAATTCGGCTTCGGGTGTTTGTGAAATTCGCTAAAATGAAAAAAAGAGGACGAAGGGAAAGACCATTGAGGGGTGAAAAGTTATTGTAAATAATTATAAAAAATAATAAATGAATTAAACCTCGAACAAATACTTCAACTTTAATAGAACGCCAACAAACGATTCAGAGTTCGATAATTGCCCGAGGAGCTGGCGACTGTCAACGCTTTCAGTTCATGTAAAACGAGAAAAAGTAAAAATTATTTTTCGACGAATAAAAACCAACCCTACAAGTCGCCCTTCATCACCTCCATACTGCGTGAATGATATCTACATCCGATGAGTTGGCCTTTGGTGTCTACAAGACAAAAATTTTACCTGTTTTCACTTGGTATTTCCGACTGGTTCTGCATTTACCGGTCGCTTGTACGTACTTTCTTTGGGTTGGAGAAGTGGAGGTACAGCCTAAATGAAAAAAAAACTTCCGACTACTGCTAAACATGATGGTGCTGGAGTGATATTGTTGGCCTCTCAACCTATGTATAGAGAAAATCTAATAAGGAATTGCTGTACACCAATGTAGTTAGGACTCTTGGGGCTCACTTTTCAAAACCAGGTGAAAATGCAAGAAAAAGAAAACCCCAGAACACGCCATTTTGGCCGAGGGAGGGAGAAAATAGATTGAAAAAAGAAGGACTCTCAACAGCGACTATTGTCAAAGATAACGATGGTAAAAATCCTTAAATTGAGCTTCGAATTACTTCCGCATTCAGCGTATTTTCTAGATCCTGCACCCAACAACTATTTTCTGCTCTCCGATCTCAAAATAATGCTCACTTGGAAGAAATAAATACATACGAGGAGATTTACAAAAGTTGGGTCAGACGAGGAAACCCAAGATAGCTGAGGATAAGTCAGACGAAATTCCAACACCAACGCAAATAGAAGTTCGACTTGTGTTTCTTATCGGTTTTCGGTGTAATTTACAACTAAAATAAATATTCAGTGAATGTCAAATTGCATATGGAACGATTGCACCGTCTTTAGAGACTATTTGTAAGTGGTTTCGAAGATTCCAGGCTGCAAATTTTTCCACTAATGACATCACTGTAGCTCTGGTAAAGTCCAAAATTAACGAAGACCCACGAGTGACACAAGAAGTGATTACTAATTAATTGGGCATAAACGTATCGCAAATATTAGGATATCATCTGGGATACACGAAGAAATCTAATCGATGGGTACCACGAATTTTCAACGTGGCCCCAAAAGAGGCTCGAGAGTCTTTTGCTCAATTTTTCCGAAACAAATTCTAAAATGGTCAGTCTGGCAGCTTTAGTAAAGTCGTTACTGGTGACGAATCTTGGTTCAATAAGTACGTTGCAGAAACCAAACAGCAGTTCATAGTTGGGAGCCCAAAAGGAGCAAGCTCACCCGTGAAATTCAAGCAACGAAAATCAGCAGCAAAAGTAATGACGTCAGTTTCTTTTACCCGATCTGAAACCGTAGCTGCTATGCCATTGGAAAAGGGTCAGAAGGTAACTGCAAAATGGTAAGTCGAGAAGTGTTTACCAAAGTTTTCGAAAATTTTTTTGGAAAACAGTATTAAAGAGGATTTTTACATCACGACGACAACGCTCCATTCCACACTGCTGATATAACGAGTAATTTTATGGCGATCTCTATTCCCCGGATAATGCACCTTGTAATTTCTGGTTGTTTCCAAAAATTAGAAAAAAAATTAAAATGGAATAGCAACGAGGAGATAATTAATGTGGTTAATGCTAGATTTTGGAAATCAATGGCGATCATTTAGAGAACATAAAAAAGAATAGAGATTACGAATAAATACAAAAAAATGTTTTTTTCCTGCTCAATTCAGCGAACTTTTGTTAATCCCCTCCTACATATAGGACATATCTAACATTTAAAGCGAGATACGAAAACACCATTAGGTACATATGTACATACATTTTTGTTAGTAATGATGTGTGTGTTAGTAAGTATACATTGATGATTTTAAAATTTGTGTTTAGTAACTTTATAAGCTTATTTCATATTATTTATTATATTGTATACATACATATATACAATAAAAAAATAGGTACTTTAAAACATTCATATGTATGTATGTACGTGTTTGCAAAGAGTAAAAATTAAATGTAATAATTTCTAGTAAAGCCTTATACTAAAAGCAACTGACACACATACATACATATACATACATAGGAGTATATTTTTGTTATTCAAGCCAAAGCATACAATATATGTACAAGTACATACAAGCGCACACTTAAACACACTTATGTACACACATACAAATATAATTATATTTATATACACTGTATAGTAATATATATATTTACTTATATATAATACATATATATTATATATTTATATATATATAGTTTGTAAATTTATGTATATATATTTTTGGTTTAATTTTGATTAGTTATTTCTTATTATTATTTTTTTTTTGTTTTTTTACATACATACATACATTATGAAAGCAAGTTACTTTAAGCTTTACGTTCAACTTTCGTACATAAATATTTTATAACAATATTTCCAATTTTTTTTTTTTTTAGTTTTTTACTTTTTGTTATTCAGTCATTCTTACATTTTTACACTTAAATATGTATTTGTTTTGTATTATTACAACTAAATTCGATGCTGGTGGTTAGTTAGTTCATTGCATAGGTATTTGTTATACATACATATGTATGTACATACATACATACATACATATATAAGATAAGTACATGTTAAATCTTTGTTTGTCGGTGTGGTCTTTGCGTATAATCATTATCAACTTTACATATGTACATAATATACTTATACATTTGTACATACTCACATATAATATAACGTTCTAACTTACATTTAAGCGGAAATCAAACATCCATCACAATTGCATACATATACTACATACGATACATACATATGTACTATATGTGCGTTATGTTTACAAACACATTATATACTCTTACATATGTATGTATATATGACCGCATGTTTCATTTCCTTGGCACATTCTTGGCGCTCCTCAGCAACGCTTGATGAAAACTCTCCCTTCTCACCACACTTATGATTTTTCTTCATTTAAAATCTTACTTATCCTCGCTTATGACGTACATACATAGTACATATATGTACATATTTATAAACTTACATTCTGCCACTTACTGTCCTTTTTCGATTTTCCTAATTGCATTCCACTCTGCATTCGCGTGTGTTTGTTCTTAAAAGCATTTTTTAAAAAAGTTCAAAAAACGAAATACCCGTTCGAAAAGTGTTGTACGTTGACCGCGTTGATTGGTTGTTATTCATGCAGCTAGAAGGGAGTGGAGGTGAAAAGAGAGCATATTTAATAAGACGATACATGAATAGTGAAGATTTGATTGGTTCGATCAATGGTGAAAAAAGGTAATACATAAGAGTACATACACACATACATAACTATTAGAACTCAAACATTTATTCGAAACTTTTTTGCGAGCAGCTCGAGCTCATTACTCGCGCAATTCGAGTTTTTCTTTGCGTATTTCGAAAAAAACCTGCGGTCGAAGCGAGCGTTCCGTGAACGTATAACACGCCACGTCAATTTATGTATTTGGCATTACGCCATACGTGAACGAGCACTCGTTGTCGTAATTCGATATGATGCGTTCGGAAAGTCCATACGTTAACGAGTATTTCGTTAAAAACTTTCATGCGATTACAAAATTGTGTTCGTATTCAAACAAGCAATTAAAATGTGAGTAATTTATTTTGAAATATTTATAAAAAATATTTTGTTGCAATAATAAAAAATATTATTTTAGTACAAATGCAACTAAAATTAAGGCGACACAAAAGCAGTTCATCGCTGAATTAATGCGGTCACATCCAAATTTAGCAAAAAACCGTTTGCCAAACCGCACAGGTCAAAGCAATGCTTGGCCCGTCAGTTAGGAATACCGAAACGTGAAAGAAAATAAAAAAAAAACAAAAACTTTCCTTTAATTCGAAATTTTTTTCAACATTATATTTTAGGTGAACGCTGATCAAAAGTACCAGGCGAAAAAAAAACTTGCAAGTTCCCTTAATCGCCTGCTTACAATTCGTTCATCGACATTACTTTCATCGGAAGATAAATACGAAAGTAAAACGCCGGCCATACCTGATTGCTTTTATTTATAAAAATTATTAGCATTTGCGCACAGCTGATTCAAAATTGTAAGAGAATAATGTAAAAGATGATCGTGAAATCTTTTACATTTTCAAATAAATCTCAATAATTTTATACGAGATTTACGTACACGGTGTGTCCCAAAAATAACCGAACTTTTTGGATATAAAATAAAATACACATTATATTATCTTTGAAAGTTATTATTTATTCAAAATAGGTTCCATTTGACTCAACAGAACGATCAACCAGCGCATGCATAGATTATTTTATGTTATTTATAGAAATGTTCTTCCGTACCTTGGTTACGGCTGCTACGGCATAAAATGCTCCCTTCATCTTGGTTTTCAGTTTTGGAAATAAAAAAGAGTCACATGGTGATAGATCAGGCGAATACGGAGGATGGTCGCCAAGAGAAATCCCTTTTTTCATTAAAAATTCGAGCGATTTTTTGGTCATCATTTAATTCATATGGAACGAATCGCGCACAGACCTTTTTTTCCCCCAAATCTCCAGTTAAAATTCTCCAAACAGTGTTTTTACTCGTATTCAATTCCTCAGCCAACATTCTCGTAGTAAAATTTGCATCGATACCAATGATTTCACGGACTTTTTCCACCAGTTCAGCACGATTACTAGTTGCTGGACGTACTGCTCTAGGGTCGTCATTTAAATCCTCACGACCATTTTTAAATCGTGTAAACCACGTATAAACTTGCGCACGACTCATACAACCATCACAATAAACTTTTTTCATAAAATTTTATATTTGCTCTTTGTTCCATTTTATTTTTGAACCATTTCATTTTTGATCTTTTGGTTTTACAGATGTAAAAGTGACAGCCATTTCAATGTCACTTTTACATCTGCCATGCGACTTACATGATGTTAGGTGCGTTTGAAAGAGGATGAATGTATCTTTTTAATGTTGCAAATTTTCAATAGATGGCGCTGTATGTTGTATGATTTAAATAAAAAGTTCGGTTATTTTTAGGACACACCGTATATTACGGAATTTTCTTTCGCACGACAGCAGATTCGTTCACGGAACGCTCGGTGCGACCTTTGATTTTTTTCTTTGTAATTTGGCTATATTTTTAAATTATTTTACATAAAGTGTTAAAATCATTCAAATGCTTAAGATTTTCTCAATTCAAAAGCTTAAATGCTTCAGCAAACATTTTGAAGAATGATCGAGCATTGAGTGAGTATCCAGTTACTCCCACTCTTCGATAACGAGCTCTAAAGGATACATATATGTATATGTATATATGTACGTTTGTAGATTTTTTTTTACAATAAGCATTTTACAGATATACATATATACATTTTAAAGTAAATTGAAATCGGAATTCGATGGTATAAGAATATTTCTTAACATAAGATAATAAATAACACCGGTCAACAAAAAAATTATATTTTTACGTTTTTTATGGCACTGTTTCAGGTTATATATATTTTTTGTAAAAATTTACAACAATAGTTTTCGACGGCAGAAGTTATAGCTGCTATTTCGGAAGCCACCACGTTTCCTCATCAGACTTCTGTTTCCAGACACCTTTGTTCGCATTGGATTCGAACTAGGGATGTCCACAGCACAAGCCAATGGCTTTCCCATTAAGCTATGTGTGTGCCGCTTTTACTTATTGTTGTTTTTCATTTTTCCTTTTACCTACATATTCACTATCAAGTGCTCAGTTATTCTGTAGCTGTAGACTAATTTTTTTTTTTTGTTTCTATGCTCATGCATAAATAGCGATTTTAGTTCTTGAAAAACACTCAAAATTCTCATTTTTAGTTAAGTTTGCTTTTGACCGGTTCACTTTGATAAATATACTTTAACCTTTTTTGTGTCGAATATAAATAAATATAATTGGCGCTTTTTTGCCTCAGCAGCGATTTTCGTTAGAGCTCCCACTACAATTCGTGGTTTGGTTGTACGCTTTGATATTTTTCCAAGAAACATAAGGACCTTCTAATGTATTAAGTTACCTCCGAACGACCGGCCCAGAAGCGACCCCAATTTAAACAATCAATTTTTTTTTATATAATTTTTAGATATTGGTCAGATCAGTACTCGAACTCTGACATTCCGAATGGCAGTGCGCACTACTAACCACACTACTAATGCGGCCGCCATGCAATAGATCTGATGATTTCTTACAAATATTAAAGGCCATGCAAAACTAAGTCCAAGAAGAAATCAATATTCGATGATTTAACCAACCGCTCCACCACTGTTAAGTGCACCCCCGTCTATTACCTTACTGTTATTTGCTTTAAAAAAATATTAAGAAATCTGTATTGAAAAATACCGGCAGAGTACAGTAGATGATTGGAGAGCTCAAACCTTAATTCTACAAAGATCCGTAAGTGTTTCGAACTTCATCCCAACTGAATAACGGCTGCTATAAGTTGTTGTTGTTCTTGTGGTAGTATTAGCTGCTGGTTTAAGCCCCAAAATTTAATGCATGTCACGGAGGAGGCAAAAAAAAAAAGCAGCTTCATCGTAGATGCTGACCAGAGGGGGAATAAGAGTGAATTTGAGAGGGAGTGCAGAGGTGGTTAGTGTACGTTGCGAGTACTTATTACTTGAGTGTGTAAAAGTTAGAGAGAGTTAAACGATCGGCGTCCATCCTGATAACGGGAGCATTGCCATCACCTACCTTGAAAGCATTGCTAATTCTTTTCAACCTCCATCCTCTGGATCTACAAGCGGGTTGCAACGCAAAAAGATTGGATGCAACTCAACCTTAGAAGAATTGCAGTATAGGACATACAAAAATATTATCTCTTACAGAAGTGCCGAAGGAGCTGGACTACTCCACCTCCAGTGTATGATTCGATAATCTTTTCTCCACAAGAATCCCTAATAGATGCGAGTGGGAAAACACCAACACCCCCGATCAGGGAGCAATAGCCAATTTCAAAGACGGCTCGAAGCTTGATGGGAGTATGAGTTGCAGATATTGATACCATGGGGGAATCTCTCAGTAAACATGAGCTCATTATATGGCAGCGCTTTCCAGGCAGAACACTTCGCAATCATGGAGGCCGCGGAGTGGTTGCACGGCACTTCGATACTCCGATAGTCAGGCTGCAATCAGATCTCTTCAATGTAACGATACGACATCAAAGGTGGCCATAAATTGTAGAAACACTCTGAATAAACGCTCAACGAAGTACAGTACTGCGGTGGACTGGGTACCAGAACATATGTACATCCCAAGCAATTGCATGGCAGACGAACTAGCAAGGGTCTTGTGCAACATGACCAGGCAGCTATGGCCAAAGTTGGAGGACAATCTAAACATATTATCCTTTTGGACCGATTCTCCATTAACATATCGACTGGTATAATAACTGGACACTTTTTGATGGGGCTTCACGAGATTAGGATGGGCTTTTACCCTAACGATTACTGACGCGACTGCCTTTGGCACTGTACAGTCTTGACATCCGCGCTAGGGAAACACTTCTTCGACTGTCTCACTGAGTTGGCCTCAGTGAAAGTTGGAAATTTCGTTGCCTTTATAAGGCACACAAAATTGTTCGATCATTTGAGAAGGTGAAGGCAGGAGGAGCATCAGCGGTATCACAATGGGCCTATTGGCCTAAGTGTGCTGGGGTTGACCAGCAGTCACATCAACTCAAGTAAAAGCTGAGTCTGCTACAGTATCTCGTGTTACCGCGGTTTGATAAGACAGCTCGACAACTGCTATGGGTGGTAGTGGTTTGATTCCAAGAACGCTATTCAAGGAAAACGAGTCGATGAAGGTATTAAAGGTGTTGAATGGATTACGAAAAGTGAAGTACTTACTTCCTGATATTCTTAGAGGATGGACCAGATTCCAGCATGTGTTGGCAAGTTGTAGAATTGGGCATAAATTGCCGCAAAATATACTGAAACTAAGGAGATAACCCGGTGCCCGATGTCCAGAGTATACTAAATTTGAGGAGAGAAAACGTCTCCACCCGGCTGAATGCCGGTGAAAATTAAACACATGAACATGGCATTCCCGTATACACAGTCCATAATGACGGAAAATATATTCCAATACTTCAATAGTCCCAATTGCAAATGCCAACTTAAAGAATAACAAAGCAACCGACAGCGGTAAGCCCGTCTATTTAAATATGGCGGCAAGGAACTGAGAAGGTGC